TGCTGGAAAAGCCGGATCTGCCCTGCTCTGCTTTGTCCTTCCTCCGGCTGCTCTTGATTGTGGGTGATTTCTGGGCATATTTTTCGGTAAGAACAGCCCCTAATTCCTTTGTTCTTGCTTGAATTGGCTTGGGTTTATGTTAATTGCTCTTGGTTCCTTCAATTTTTGGGTAAACCCGTGAGTTTCTCCCCTGCAGCTTGCCGCCGGCCTTCTTCCCCCTGCCATGTCCGGTTTCTGCAACTGTAAATTCTGGTATGTGACAGCCTTTTAAGGCTTAAATTGTCCATTTAAAGTTGCTGCTTGTGATGTCCGAATTTGGCTAGGAAATGGGGAAATTCCGGTAGCAATTAAGAGGGATTTAAGTGTGTTTTGTTGCTTAATTCAAGTGGAATTTATGTGATTGAGTGTTAATTGTCTGTTGTGATTTTTGGAGAGAAAACCCTGTGAGATTAGCTAGTGTTTGGGCCAACTTTTGGAAGTGCATTTACTGTTCACGTCGGGGTACTGTTCACGGGTACTGTTCACCGACACTGTTCACACACACCGAGGGCCAACAATTAACGGGGATTTAAATGATTAGTTTGTGATATAAGAACGAATTTGGAGATGTCCGATCATGTGGAAAGTGATAGAAATAGCATTGTGATTAGAAATGATCCTAATGATGATTTCAATGTGAATTTATGATAGTACGGTATTGATTCTCGGATGTTTTGATTAGGTTTCTGATCGTTCTGTCGGTTAGCACTGAGATTGAGTGCTCAGTTTTATGCAAGTGAGGTAAGTAAATTTATGGTAATGCCCGTACTGTTTTAAAAGCATGTTTTGATTTGTTTTTGAAGTGGTGGCAGGACTAAACCCGTTTTATACAAAAGTAAGTATGATTGATTTGAAATGAAAATTTTATGCTTTTCATTAAATTGAGCATGCCTACTTGAAATTTGATTGATTGTCCTGATGATTTGAAAGTGATTGGTAAAGAATGATTTTCTGTGAACTTCTGCCTGTTTTGTCTCCGATATGGTTATGTTATTGATTGAAATCCTGCTAGTGGGGGTTAAACGCTAGCACATGTTGACATGTTATTGATAGAACCGGTTCGTTCAAGTGTAGCCTGCCAGTGGGAAGTTTAATACACTGGCCATGACCTATAGAGGAGACGTCTATTTCGTGCCCGTACTGTATCCGTTTTTCGTTATTGTACTTGTTGGCATGCTATAAATTTAATAAGGGCACTCCATATTTTACTTACTGAGTTTATCTCATAGTTTTTCCTTGTCCACCATTTCAGGAAGTGAAACCGAGGACGGGGAAACCACGGGAAGTGACGAGTTAGAAAGCTAGCCATTTCGGGATTGATATAGATTCTAGAAGTAAATCATGATCTTGTAAACCAAAGTGTATTTGGAGATTTATGTTATCGGAGTAAATTTTAAAGATTTGATCTTCAGATTTTGATGGTATCAGAGTGTGAATTTGATAAGTTCCGAGCCTTGTGCATTTGTGGGACCCGTCTCACGAGTGCACGGCGTCTGTCGCGTCTCGAAATTGGGTTTTGGGGCGTGACAGATAACTTGCCAATCTTCACAAAAAGACAACAATTTCAATTGAATAATCACTGCTCTTGATTAACCAATACAGAAAAATGAGCCACATGAAAAGACCATGAAGCTCCAAACGGAAAAAGTGAAACTTCACTATAAGAGTTTCAGAAGATAAGGAGCAACGAAATTACCAAGTTATCCAGCTCCTAAAACACATCTAGAAAAACACACAACATTGGCTAAAATAGCCTTGAATCTCTTGCAAAGTAGAGGGTTTACCCATCCTCCACTGGTCATGTGACAAACAAAATAAATTCTCCACCAGCTATGCTGTAGAGACTAACAGGATCAATAACAAAAGTTCTCTACAACTCCCCAGATTTCAAAATGGTGGCAAAAGAGAGCATACAAAAATTCTATTCACGTAACAAGCCTAAACAAGTGCAGACTATCAAAAAATGACCAAGTTTCAAAACAAGGTCTTCAGGACATAACGGGCAAGATCACTTTCACAACTTCACACAGAGTATGAAGGCAGGGAACAAGAACAATCAGATCACCATCTCATCGAAATGGATGAGAAAATTCAGGCAACATGAATCAGAATTGTCCCTTATATAACCCCATCACTCGTCTCACCATGGGTCTAAAATCAATTGGCTAGCCAAGTCCAAAACAAATCCTAGGTATTCAATTAAACCTAGGCTCGGATATCACTCAATCTGCTCTGATGCCACTCAATCTGGAGGTGCTTAATTTAATCTTAAGCTCTAAATTTAAACTTAAGCTCTTAATTTCAACCTAAACTCTGATACCACTAAATTTCCAGATATCTAATTTAACCTAAACTCTTAATTTCAACCTAAGCTCTGATACCACTTTATCTGTCACGCCCCAAAACCCGAATTTGAGGCACGACAGACGCCGTACACTTGTGAGACAGGTCCCACAAGTGCACAAGGCTCGGAACTTATCATATCACATCTGATACCGTCAAAATCTGAAGATCAAATCTTTAAAATTCTCTCTGATATCATAAAATCTCCAAGTACACTCTAGCTTACAAGATCATGATTTCTAGAATCTAT